GGAAAACACTAAGGCTTACGATATTATTTTGTTATTTCTAGCCGCCTGAGGGTTTTAAATGCCTCGCGCACCTTTTTTTCTTTTGCATAGGCAATAACAAAATTAAAAAAATGAGCGTTAGGTATAGCATTTTCCATAGCATTTTCGTTAGGCGAATGGCCCCCCAAGTGAATGCGTCACGCGTTACGAAAAGTGTGTTCGGGCGAGGCGAACGGGAGTCGAGTGGGATATAAGCAAGAGAAAGCAGTGCGCGCGCACATTTTCTTTCTCTCTTTCTCTTATAGCTAGTAAATGAAATATGTATATGTACATACATGTATTGTCATCACATATATTGTCACATATATATATTTATAATACATACAGATGGAGCTAAAGAAGTTTCACTTCAGTCGTGTGGTCATAAGCACACTCGTTTTTTTTATTCAATATGCATAAAATAAAATATAATAAGCTAAGCTCTTGCTTAGTTATCCTAATGAACAGACATAGATCTATGCCACAGTCGGCAACATAGCAAGCTGCAACCAACCTATGTTTGAGGCTTGTATAACTTATGGCTTGTCTTAAAGTTAGGTACCTGTAATGTAGCTTGAATTTCGTTTAGTCACTAGTATTAATATAAAAAGTTATAGTATTAATGTGTTTTGACATAGTATTTGTGTTCAGACTAAAAATATGACAGTAATTCTATTATTTGAACAAAATTTTATTGTTTTTTTAAGTTTTTTTTTAGTTTTTTTTATAGTGCGGTAAATTGGGCATCAGGCTTATCATAGTCAAGTCACGAGTTTATAAATACCATTTTGTACTAATGTTATACAACGTTTTTCAACACATTTGCGAAAAAACAGTGTAGGTACTTGATTTATGTAATGACGCAAACTTTTTCTAATAAGAAAATGGCGCGTGTTTCCAAATGGCGCCACCTGCGGGTGGTAATAATTATAACTACATCTTTCGTCTATTTTTCTTTTTTGTATTAAAGTGAGACAAAGTATAGTTTAAAAGCGCTTCCAAGGAGTTTAGATCGAAATTCACTCGCCAATTCTCGGCTTGAGGTCCCCTTAGGATCGCTCCGTCCCCAAACCCGGTGACGCTGTAAAGGTAATCTGCGACCAACCAAACATAACCACTCAAAAAAATAATGATCGAAATAAAAAAAAAAACGTAAAATATACGCATGGCGCCTTGTATGGGAGCGTGTGGTAAAATGTTAACCGCACGCTCCGTTGTATGTCCCGTAATTTTAAAGTTTCCAACAACCTCCGTAAATGCATTTTATGAGCTTATGTGTTGAAAATTATATTAAACCTTACTTTGCTATCCATACATATTTTTTTTTTAATATTTGCCTTGGGATGAGCAAGGAACTCATTTGGGTTGAATTAAGAAAAATGTATTTAAAATTATGTAATAGGTTGAGTTAGGATAACGTTGATATTATTTCGACGACGAGTTAGGTAGTAGTAATCATTCACTATTATTTTCAGACAGTGTAGCAGGCTAAAAAAAGTTTTAATAACGTCGTCGACATATGACTTTGAGTAGGGGTAATTGATACTTATGTAGGTATGTATATCGTTTACATTTCACTGATAAATAAATAATATTTCCAACACTCACACCAATAAGTCTACCCCAAAAGTAGGCACTGTAGGCTTGTGTTATGGGATACTAGGGTAAACGGACAGATTACATATATTGATACATATACATATGGGTATATTTATATAGAAATATATATTAAACATCCATGACTGGAGTACAAACGCTCGTATTCATCTCACAAACATCTGCCCCACCGAATTCGAAACCAGGACTTCTCGAGTAGGCGACACTTGAAATCCGGCGTACAAACCACTCGGCCACGGAGGTCGTCAATGATGGCACAGAATACAAAATAGTACAAGCTATAACTCGCCTATGACGTTCTGTCGATCCTCACTCTGGGTGTATTCCGTAATATATACCAGTATACTGGCCAGTGCTGATGACGTCATGAATCGACGCTATACTGGTGAATTTTATTGTTCCCAAATATATTGGCCAGTGCACTGACGTCATAAATCGTCGAAATATTGAAAAGAGTGCGAATAAAGAAGATTTTTTGTTCACCTCATCAATTAAAAGGAATTCTTTTTGTTCGGATGCCATTATTATTCTTTAAATAAAAAAGAAAAAAAATTCGAATGCATCTCACGCACGCTCGGTCATACGTCATATTCGTTTTCCCGGTAAAGTCATGGTAGCATACCAGTACATGATGGCGTCGGATTCGTGACGTCATTACCACTGGCCAGTATACTGACGTATATTTGGGAATACACCCTGTGATCTGTCGGATCCTACCTTACCTTTTACCTTAAGATGACGAGTTATGTAGCGTGGTAATTCTGTCATGCGTAAGGGTTTTTAAGCTCCTTAAAGTCATGATAATCATATAGGCAATTACGGTTTTTAGTCAATAATTCTCATGGCAAATTGTCGTAGTATTTTTTTTCTGTTATTTTGGCTATTTGGGTGTTCTTTTAAAAATATTGGTTTTATTAAGTTTATCAAGTATTTTTCATTTTAGAAGTAGTAGCTTATACTACTCGGTAGGTACTTAGAATGAAATTTGTTTTACATTTATGAGAGCTGTAAGCTTCGGTACTGTTTGTGAATCAATTCTAGTTAAAATATTCAGCTGTTTACAAAATTTCAATATCTGCTTGGATACATATAAATATGTACCTAGTTCGTTTAGACATAATTAATTTTATCACAGAGCGTTTATGGTATCATGTTTATTATGTAACATTTTTAAAATCCGTTGATAATGAAAAGTTAAATAAAAAGATAGGGGAAAAAAGTTATTTCATTATTTTTTGGTAGCTTTTTGCTTATGTTATGCCCTGTCTTAAGACTTTATTTCCTTGTGACAGGAAAAAAAAGGACATTTCAAAAAAGTTGCTTTATAACTACTTCCAATTTAAATAAAAATATTTTCCTGTTGTGATATTTAAGTGGTGAATAATAAATACCCACTTCTTTAGACAATGTATATGTCACCGGCAATCTGAATAATTCAGGTATTATATACAATACCTAGGCAATGTATGAAATATTATAAATATTATTTCCCATTTTATACTATGCCTAGGTGATGTATACAATTGCTAGTTATAGTATAGAGTACCTACTGACCCACCGGCAATGTGTAAAATTAACCGGTTTATCTTGTATTTATCCTAGGATAGGTTAGTAGGATTAGGATAAACCTAACCAAACGTAACCTTTTTTTTTACCCGGAGAAATGCATGACGCATACCCCGCCGCTGGGTGAGGCGACGGGGTTATGTGGAACTCCTCCTCCCACCTCCCGCCGACCCACTCAGCCAACCCTAGGGCTGGCTCAGTGGCTGCTCAGGATTGGGGGGGACCCTACCCTACCCTACCCACTAAAACTCCGGGATGTGTCCTCCTCTACCGGATATGACGGCGTGGGTTCCCTATTGGGAATCAAACCACGCCGCACCGGCGGGGCCCGACTTTATGCCGGGCCACTCCACGGTCGGGGCGATGCCCGAGCACATCTAGGCGGCGCTGGGACTCCCAGGTGGGACACACCTCTAAGGTGTGCTGCGCAGTGTCATCTTCAGCGCCACAATCGTGGCACTGCGGAGTCTCTTCCCTCCGAGCAATCTTGTGCAGGTAGCGTCCGAAACATCCATGCCCGGCAACCAAACCTAACCTAGCCTACCCAGATGGATATAAAACGACGGACGGATTTTATTATTCTCACCGAATGAACTACAAGACCAATTAAAGTTTGATCAATTTACAGTGGGTTAGGTTAAGTTAGTGATGTGACCTAAACTTAGCGCGAGTCGAGCGAGTAAAGCGAGCGTGCCGTGGTAGCAGCCGGTGAAGCGCCAGCCACCTGATAGATAATTTAGTTTTATGTTTTATAATAGATAAATAAAACGAAGTAAAGTCGACTTGCTATTTCATTTAACATATATTGCCGACTGCGCATTCGACATTGTATAGAATACCTAGGCAAAGTATAAAATGAATAATATTTCACACAGTACCTGGACATTTCAGGCATTCTGTCCATTGTCTAGGTATTGTATAAAATTCATTACAGATATTGTATAGAATGAACAGATCACCGGTAACACATATTGATAACTCCTGATTCTGAATTGGAAATATCTTTATATAGTCATCTATATAAAGATATTTTAGCAGTACTTATGTTTTGTGCGTTAAGAATATATAACGTTTAACACGTTACATACTAAATTATAAATATTTCTAACACCCACACCAGTTAACCTGGTCCCAAAGTAAGCACTGTAAGGCTTGTGTTATGGATTACTAAGGTAATGGATAGAATACATATACTGATACATATATAAGTATATTTATATAGAAATACATATTAAACTTCCTTGACTCGAGTGCTAATGCTCGTATTCATCACACAATCATCTGCCTCCACCGCGACTTGAAACCGGGACCTCCCGAGTAGGCGGCAAAATGAAACCCGGCGTACAAACCACTCGGCCACGGAGGTCGTCAGTGTGATATACATAAATATACTAGAGAGAAAGTAGAGGGCACACTCCAGACGGAGAGGAGACTCCCCCAGTGGGGAGATGCCATCCGCCTGGAATACCTTTAGAAGCACTCGCCAATTCTCGGCTTGAGCTCATTATTATGTTATATACAGGTGGAGGAACAATATCAGATCAAATGGACATGTTATAAAATATAAAAAAGTCACCCAACATGTTATCCGCTGGACGCACCTTTCTTCAGTTCACAACATACCTACTGTTATGTTTACGAATTAATTTATTGGTTGCGTTCACTCTTTAGATAAAGGCGCCTGCGCACGCGCCGCTACAGATTCGCTCCCTTGTAACGAGACAGTTTGACGTGAGAATTAAGGTGGTAATGGATTGCTTTCTTTTATCCTTTAACAAGTTAAGGTTAAACGTGTCGCCTGCCGCTCGGTAGTTTGATAAAGGCATGCGCGCGCGCGGACGCCTCAGTAATGGCGCGCGTCCCGTCTTTGCTGCTAGTTTTCGTGGCCTTTACACATTACGATGTGGCCGGAGGTGCGTATGTGTGGATGTGAAAGTGTTCTTTTTTCTCTGGAGGAGAGATAAAAGCTTTTATTTCTCACGTGTGTCCTGTGATTTGTTTAGTATTTTTTATTTTTGATAATAACAGGTTTGCTAGTGTTGAAAATTCTTTAGGGGAAGAAACGACAAAAAGTGACAATTTTAAATTTTGTTTGTCGTTATTTTTCTTTAGACTAATCGTGTTTTAAAAGATTTTTTTTTATACCAATAAGTACAGAACTTTTAATAATTAAGACACATTTTTCAGACAAAATCAATCAAACAATGCAATGAATATTTAAATAATAAACAACCTTCTTATAATAAAAGTAAATTATACTTGCCATGAAAATATGTTATGACCAAATACATTCAACTGCCGCTTTTTCGATATCAAAATTTTTATTAAAACAATTGATTGAAATAATTAATTGATTAATGTATATTAAAACAAAACTAAGGTAACTGCCACTACACATTAAACTACAAACGTTTAAACTAAAATAAAAATATCGAATAATTATTTTTATCTAAATACTATATTGATAATTTTAAATCAAATTCAAAATTATATACAATAATCAACAAAAATAGAACCAGCCCTTTTTATCTGTGTCTACTGTTACCAACACTAATTTTTACACTGAATACAATTATAATATCTATTTGCTATACTTTTAATATATATATTGGAAATAATATTCATTACAGCAAAAATAACTTACATTAACAAAAAAAAAAACAACTAAAATACATATAATGAACCTTATAATGCAAACAGTAAACTGTATTTAACCAAAACTAACAATAACAGATTCTTACGCATTGTGAGGAATTAATTTTCAGTATTGGTATTATTTTGATCGTTATGCAACTTTGTAGCGTAATATTATAATATTGAATATTATAAAAATGATTGAGTTTTGTGAGGAATCAATTATTCAACATTATAAAAAAGAATAACAAAATATTGGGAATCATAATGTCGATATTAGTTATTTACTAAACTCGCATCTTAATTATGAAAGGAGTTACAGAAGACCACAGGGAAATTTACGCTACAATTTGGTGGTGTTTGCAATGAATAGGTGGTTTTGTTAATATGCTATACTAGCGGTTGTCCGCTACTTCGTCCGCGTCAACTTTGGTTTTTTGTTATCCCACGGGAACTTAACATTTTTCTGGGATAATAAATGTCTCAATCCAGGTCATAAACTAAATGCGTACCTACCAAAGTTTACCTAAATCCGTTCAGAAGTTTTTTTTGAATGTGTATGCTGTTGGTCGCAGATGACCTTTACGGCGTCACTGGGTTTAGGGACGGCGAGATCCTAAGGGGACCTCAAGCCGAGAATTGGCGAGTGCCTCTAGAGGTATTAAAGGGGGATGTCGTCTTCCCACGAGGGAAGTCTCCTCTCCGTCTGGAGCGTCTAGACCACTCGAACTTCGGCTTAACTAGAGGGCGTCTCTGAGACTTGGACCTCGGCTCTAAGTGACAATGGGATGGTTACCTGATGCTTTTATTGCTAAATGTGCTAGCACGTAATGTGTCATTACGTACACTTTCAGCCCCCTTTTTTTACCGAACCCGCAAGAAATCTTGGTGTGTCTTGTATAAAATTATCGGATTAATATCTATATCAGTTTAAAATATTCACATCTCAACTAAAACACTTATGAGAAAACTAAATACGGATTTTCAGTTTCAATTGCGCTGAATAATTAATTAGTTTGTGAGAAGTATCATATCTAATTTTACCCATTTGAAGTTTTACTTGCATGGCAAAATAATTATTAATAATAATAAATACTCATACCAATTAGCCTAGCCCTAAAGTTAGCACTATAAGGCTTGTATTATGGGATACTAGGGTAACTAATGGAATACATGTATTGTACATATAAACATATTTATATAGAAATACATATTAACATCCATGAACTAGGTACAAATTCTCGTATAACACAATGAATGCCCCATCGGAATTCAAACCCGGTACCCCTGAGTAGGTCTACTTGAAACCTTGCAACCCAACGTACATACCATTCGAAAATAGTATTTTTTTTTTGGTTTCAATCAGAAAAAAAGTTGCGTGATATTTGCCGAAACGCCCCCACTCGCCAACGTAAGATTAGATGAGATTTGACTCGACCGCCTCTCCCCCTTAAACATCTCACGTAATTAATGAAAGCACCCTTATTTGGGGCTTGGCTAACTGGTATGAGAATGGGATATATAAAAAAAAACTTCCGTAGTTTGAACCTGAAAGCTTGAAAAACACAGCACGAACTAATATCGAATTAGTCATTGTCAAATGTGTACTGATTTTCAGTTCTCGTTACGTTAGATAAATGGTGCTGTTGTTCAAGTTTCCATACAAAATATGACATTGACATTTCGCACTCCCTAACTATCCGAATTCGATATTGGTTCGTGCGGGGGGTACAGTAAATATGCATCTTTACGATATATTGAACCCAGTAGCTCCATTGTTTTGCCTTTCACGTCATTTGTCGTTATCTACGAACATTTACTTACATTATCATCATCATAATCATCAGCCTATTAATTAATGTCCCCACTGCTGGGGCACAGGCCTTACTTACATGCATTAGTCTATTTAAATTGTTACGTTCATACATCGGCAAATTGAACCAGTTGAGTTATAATAGAAACGACTTGTCCTCCACAATAGAATATTGGTCTGCAAGAATGAATTTAAATCTTTTTGTGCATGTGTAATATACCTATGTATATCTTATATACATGTTAGTCTGTATGAATGAACGATCTTTTGACAGCGGAACGGTTGTGTGGTAAAATACTCTACTGTAAAAAAAATAGCGTTAGGAATACTAAGAGATAATATATCTATATTTATAAACTAGTGGCACGCCCTCGCTTCGCTTCGATATAGAGCTGTAGTGTAGACTAAAATGACTCTTCATATAATTATAAAAAAGAAACTGAAAATGGTATATTTGCCTTTTCCAAACTTCTTTTGACATCACGTCACTCAATTGCTTTGCCTTCCCGGAACCTCTCCACTAACTCGCTCGTTTGCTACCATTTTAATATAAAAAAAGCAGTGTAATCTGTATGTATAAAAATGAATCGCTGAATGTGTTGCTAAGCGCAAATCTCGAGAACAGGTGAACCGATTTCGATAATTCTTTTTTTAGAATATTCCTTGAAGTACGAGGATGGTTCTTACGCAGAGAAAAATTAAAAAAGATGCCTGAAAAAGTACAAAAACAACACTTTTTTATACTCCCATATAAAGGATTCGTAATAATACTTAAAAGTCAATTTGAACTTTAACAGTATACCATAAATTTCAAATGTTAGTGGAGAGGTTCCGGGAAGGCAAAATAATTGAGTGACGTGATGTCAATAGAAGTTTGGAAAAGGCAAATATACCATTTTCAGTTTTTTTTATAATTATATGAAGAGTCATTTAAATCTACACTACAGCTCTACACCGAAGCGAAGCGAGGGCGGGCCACTAGTATAAGATATAATAAGATTTAAAATGAAGCCGCGTAAAACTTGGAAATAATCATTCTTTTAACGGTCCCACCAGCTATAAAAAAATATCGTTCACATTTTCATAACACTTAACTTGTATTACTTCAGCTGCTTAAATAAGAATCTAAGCAGAGCATGAAAAACGTGATGATTGATGAGTAACGTATAAACTTGGAACTTTAATCTCCTAAAAGTTTAGGCTGTTACCAGGACTTGCCCAAAGTGGTTTTTACTGCTCTATATCAAAATACATTTTAAATAAATAAATATTTAAAACACTCACACCAATTAGCCCCAAAGTAAGCACTGTAAGCTTGTGTTATGGGATACTAGGGTAACGGATAGAATACATATACTGATACATATATAAGTATATTTATATAGAAATACGTATTAAACATCCATTTACTGGAGTACAAATGCTCGTATTTCATCATTAGACTGAAGTACAAATGCTCGTATTCATCACACACATCTGCCCCCACTAGAATTCGAACCCGGGACTTTACTATGGTAGTAAAATTTAGGTAGGTAGCTACAAGTTTTTTGATTCATTTTTAACATGCCGCATTATAATTTTTATTGCTTAGTCCAGTCAACAAGTTCAAAAACGTGAAAAATAGAGATAAAGCTCCTAAAAATATGAGCAATAGATCATTGGATTCGGAACGACCTCTAGAAAAATGAGTTTTGAGGATTTTACTGCACGTAAAAAATTGCAATTGTTATTAACAAAATAAGATGAAAAAAAAGAGGTATTTACGTTTTTGTTAATAACTCATAAACTATTAATATTTACGATATTTGGAAAAAAGGTCCTTAAAGAGGAGGAAATTTCCGAAAAAAAAGTCCCAGCTCCCGGAATTCTACCTCTATTATTTATAATTTTAATTTAACGCTGAAAATAGGGCTCCGCGCAGACATTACGGTATGGGCGCACTGCCGTTAAAGACAGTTTCTTACATAAAATTATTTTTTTATAGTAACAAATATGAATTTAAAAATTTAAATAAATTATGGTGTCATGCAGATACTTGAAAGAATATATTCCCGTTGGAAAAAATTTTTTAAATTAATTTTTCAAAAAGTTATGCAATTGTTAATTAACGAATTTTTTTCCTATCTCCGTTTTCATAAATGACGACATAAAAATTTAAATAATAAACCTATAAATTTTTGGCTCTGTGGAGCTCTTTTTATATATATACTTAACAAGATCCCGCGATAAAAGTTTATTAAAGTTAATTATTTTGTTTATAACAATTTTTTAAAGTTAACAAAAAATGAAAAGTCTAAGAAATGTTATTAAAAAAAATTTTTTAAACAAATGTTATATTATTGCTGCTTTCTTATCCAACAATGGCATTAAGTAACATCGGAAAAGAATTTTTTACATCATTTGTTAAGAAATTGTTTATAAACAAATAGACAAGTTTAATATTTAAAGAAATTTTTTTTACCATTA